TCTAGTGATGAACTGGTCTCCGGTGAAAATGCTGAAAAACATATTTTCTTTCTTTCTTATACGCCGAAATCGTTCTCAGAAAAACTACATAGAGAGAGTTGCATCGCGCCAAGAGCAGATGCTGAACCAGAAAGAATGAAAACATAACAAAGGAATGAAAACAAATACCATGTCTTCTTAACAATGAAGAAATTATCTTGTGATAGCGAGTTCCTCACGTGTAGGTGAGGACTTGATGGTGGTGTGTCAGGAGGGAGAAGGAGGAGAGAAAGAACAAGAAGGAAGATGCAAACAGACAGTTGCGGCAGCTTATTGCAAAGATCACACAACACGCGCCACACACAAAGAGGCGCCGATGGTCGACCATTCCGTGGAAACACTTCTAACACTCTCCCGTTCCTTAGTAGCCACACTTCTCTGGCACATTCATTTCCTAAAGAGCTTCAACACGATTATCCTAATCACTTTCGTTAAGTACCGCTTAGTGTACGGTATGGCAGATGAAAGAAATTGTTGTATTTGCATCGATACAAATAACGCAGACAGTTAAAGTTTCAAATTTTGACGTAGCTTTATGATTTGGAACATTGGCGCTATACCTGTTGCGTCATTTGATGAAGAAGTACGAGTCTATTAAAATACTTTAACACTAACAACCAAATAATTTAACTTCTAGTATGTTCCAAAAGATCAGTAAGTGATAATTAGCGCCGGTACCAGAGTTAAGTCGCCATTACGCAAATTTGCTTGTTGAGAACTGGATGTTGAACTAATCTTGTGGAGAACAATAACAAATGCGCACTACCTTCAACACTGAAATTGGAACGCAGACTATTCTACAAAGTTAACCTTCAAACCTCTCAAAGCAATAACCTTTTGAGAAAAGATACAATGACAGTAAGCAATGTAAAAAATGGTATCTTTCACTGATTGATTGGAAGCCGACTAAGTTCTGAATTGGTCAACTTAACCCATGCAAAAGATAAAAATATTGTTTGCAAACGCTAACAGATAAACTTGAGCACGCATACATAATTATAAAACATAGTATGATTGTAAACGATTATTTTTGAAGAAAAATCCGATCAAATCGCTTCATGGTACAATGTCAGTTCTTTTGCCAGCGATTTCTTTTGAGATTGTAAACATAGGGCCTCATATGGCTAGCATTTAACAACGAAGTAATCGGACTTTGAAATTTGACATGAACTGGCGTAAAGTATGCCCCGAGATGTTGTAAGAGTTTTTCATGTGTCAGTGAAGAAATCACAAAATTGAGACCATAAAATGCATACGCTGAACACATGTACACAACATAAAGGCAAAATTTAAAAAAA